CTACACACACATTGAAGAAAACAAATCCAACACCTAGGAAAAATTATTGTAAAATAATGAAATTTCGGCAATGGGTTTGTCTAAATAACATATTTATTTGATTAAATTTACACAAGTTAAGATCACAAGTTAATGTAATTAAGAGAAAAACCATTTCACATGTGAAATAACATTAATAACCGGCGTAAGCACCAGAATTTTGATTGCAAGTATGTAAACGGGCATGCAATGTGTCATTTTGTGGGATGAAGTTCCTTGCCTATTGCACTTGGTGAATCAATACGTGGATAGTTAAGTCCTGTGTGTCTAGGCCGGAGATGGTTGATAGCAGGCACTCACCTGGCCTCCTGACCAATATATGGCTGCAGCTGGCATTAAGACAAAACCGACTTTCATCCGAAAGTACAATGGATTTCCACTCTGTCAGCCAGTGAGCTCTAACTAGACACCACTCATGTCGTAAACGGCAACTGTCTGGAATGAGTGGAATGCAAGGTACTGGGCGTCTAACTCGCAGCTGTACTTAGCCGATTTGTAACAGTTCATTTTGTCACTGTAGTGCCAACTACAACTTGAATTTCTGATGCAGGCCTGGTATAGTGCACCACTGCCATATGTCTTAGGTGGCAGTCTTCCCTCTGAGTAGTGCCGCAGGACTGCCCAGTACCTGGTTTTCTTGAAGCAATACCTTCCCTTGCTGTCAACAATCATGTGGACACATTTCTCCCCAGTCTTTCTGAAATATCGAGGAAAGAAAATCCACCTTATAAATCCCCATCCTAGCTTCTTTTTTTTTTGCTACAAAATATTTTTTTAATCAAATAAGTATCAAAAATGTGGGTGGTAACACCAGATTATGTTAAACATTATCACACCACTACCATGTTAGATTTGTGATGCATTAGGTAGATTTCAGTTGGATTAAACAGTTTCTATAAGCATCTGTAATTCAGTTTTAACTTAATAACAAAGCTTTAACTTTCTTCTGTAGTTTGATTCGGCACTTAATAAGTGTTGTAGATGTAAATTTAATTAATTTTCCTTCGAGTTAAATTTTAAGCAAACTAATTCTAGGTTTTTAAGGAATCTGAAAACTGCGTACTGCTTTAAATTGAAGCTAAAAAGGGGTATGTAACACTTTTACTAAAATAAGTTTTTTAAATAAGTTTTACTAAAATAAGTTACATTGACCTCTTCAATTGTTTTTTTTTTTTTTTTTTTCAATTGATGCTCAATTGCAGGGATAATACTTATCCTCATATTCCTGATTTTTCTGATAATTTTTTTTTTAAAATCCTGATAAGAGAAGCATCTATTTTTGATGCAGCATCATATAGTATTTTATGTATGTATACACACACTCATAATTGTGAGAATTGCAACACCATGAAGGAATTGTGTAAAGTGAAATAAGACCTGCGAATGACGAGAATTACAAAGCAATTGCACATGGGTGGAATGAGAACAGTCTCTTTATCATCCGCTTGTTCTATGTATATGAACTGTAAGGATTAGTTGAAATCAGTTTATCATCTTCTATCTGCGGTAAACATGTAATTAGTGGTTGATATGCCTCATCAAAAGCGTAGCTTATTTTTATTTATTTTTGGCAAAATAGGAACTGCAGTTTCTTTTTACAGCTCTGTTACTTATTTTTTGTAATATTCTTTTACATATATTTTAAAAATTATTTTAGGAATGTGTATATCTACATGAACAAGCTGATGCCGAGGCATCATTTACCAAAGAACAAATACAAGCAGGGTAAGTTTTTCATTTTGATTATGTGAATTAAAAATTATTTGGTCAAAAAAAAATTTTTTTTTTCTTCATCTGATTTTATTATATAATGAAGAATGCCATTTGAAATGCATCTAGTTAACCATTTCTGGCTGTTAACTGATCATTTGTTGATTCATTTCCTTCATTATAATAATAATTTATTGTTATATAATTAAATTACTCTTTAGTTTTTTTAAATTTAATCTTTGAGCTTTTTTTCCAAAAAAAGGCTGTTAAATGTTTGAAAAGATACTTTAAAATACTGAACAATTGTCAATAAACGCTTAGTTGTCGATGTTAATAATCGCCTCCTTTAATTTCACTAAAAAATAAACGTTTAAATACAAAAGAACCCTGCCAGCTTCCGCTTATCGCTGAAGCAAAACTGCTTGAGTTGAAATACATAGTTGAGTCTATAAAGGTTTGTAAAGATCGTGAAATTTTCTTCTCAAGTAAGATTAGGGTAGCATGGTTGAAAATAAGATTTAAAAAAATGAAAAAGGAAGAAATTTTATTATTTTTTACGAATAACGTTTCTGTGAATTAAATACCATTGATATGTTATAGAAAAATAAAATAGGAACAATAAACATTAAATTGATTTGGATTAAATGCAGATAATTTTTCTGTTTCTTGCTATTTCTTCCAAGGTGCAATATAATTTTTATAGGCTTTTGTTTATATAATGGTGTGGTGTATTTTAAGAGCATTTGTATTAGAATTTTTTTTTTTTTTTAAATCATTGCCACTACTTTTGAAAATGCAGCAATTTAAAAAAAACTAATTNCACTAATAAAAAAAAACTAATTTTCGATGTTAACAGACTTTTTTTATAAATTATTTTATTATCACGTTTACTATTATGTGATATTTTTTCAAAATGTTTCTGCTGGGCTTATTTTCTTTTTATTTCTCTTATCATCACATAAAAATAGGGTCATATAATTTCAACATCTTAAATGCAAACCTGACTACTGAATTTGTCTGTACTGTTCTGTTTAAGAAAAAAAACAATTTTTTTAAAAAAATAAATCTAAAAGCAGTTTCTTTTTTCCTTTTTTTTCTTACCTATTTTGGTTTTTATTAAAAGTGTTTGTTTTTATCAATAATTTTATTATGATGCTGCATTTTTTAAGAGCATTTCTGATATTTATTTTTATTTTAGCTTCACTTTTTATTTTTTAAATTAGTGTTTATATTCTATTTTTTAAGAATATTTGATATATGTTTCTTTTTTTGCCGTTATTAGAAATATTCTTCCTGCATATCTTTAAAAAAAAAAAAAATGAGGGTTTATTATGTTTAGCCGCATGTTTTAAATGTGTTTTTTTAAAATTTTTTTTCATCACTTTGTCCTTAACATATGATAATATGGTGATATTAATGATCTATTTTTTTTCCCATTTCTCTTTTTTTTTATGTTCCTCCCTCATATTTTTTTCCAAATATTAATTTTTATGAACTATTATAGTTTTTTTTTCTCTATTATTGCTGTTAATTTTTTTATTAAGGCATAGCATTTTGCCTATTCCCATGCGCACGTTCCAAATACTCAAGATTTCACTTTATTTTATTTATTAAAGTTACTTCCTATTTATATATTTGATATATACACAAATTTTAGTTTTATTTATTTTTTATTTACATTATGTATTTTTATCTTTTTTTTAGGAAGCACATAGAATATGGACAAAGGTTATATGAACAATATGTTCAATATGTAAATAATATGCACTCAAAGTAAGTTGCATGTAAAATATATAAATTTTTTTTGTAACTTTGATTTTTTTTTTGCCTCTAACTTGACATTTTCTTTTTTCTTTAAACTTTTTCTCAATTTTGTGAAAAATATTATAAAATTTATATACTTTTTATTTTTAAATGACATAAATCAACATTTTGTTTTCTCCTATACCTATTACATTATACCTTTATGTATACATTCCTTTATATAGAGCTTCATATACCTTTTATTTAAATTTAAAACTGAGTATAACAAGTGAATTCGAAATATGCAAAGATTTTAAGCTTGAAGCAAAAATGCAGTTCTCTAATGCAGTGTTTCCAAAACTTAACACTTTTGGGTACCCTTTCTAAATTTTTCGTAACGCTGTGTACCACTAATAAAAAAAATGGTTGCCTTTTTTACTATAAAAATAAATTGCACAAAAGTTAAAAATCAGAACTGGCTGTTGATATTACAAATTATTAACTGTTAACTCTGCAAAAAATAGCCAATAGAAAAATACGTAATCGTGAATTTTCATGGCTAGATTTATTTTTGAATAAAAATTATTGAAATTTCCGTTTGTTGCAAGATTTCACATATGAGCGCGTACCCCCCGCTAAACTGTTCCCGTACCTCAAGGGTATGTGCACCACACTTTGGGAAACACTGCTCTAATGAAATACTCTTATTGCAAAAACGTTTCTCACAATTTTTAAAATTTTCTCCTTTTTTAAATTTGTCAAATAAAAGAAGGGGATTTAAAAGTGTTAATTGTATGAAAGAATTATCAGATTGCATTCCTGATTTAAATATCATTTCATAGATGTCTTGTTAAAAAGTTGTCATTATTAAGTTATTGTAATTGTGGCTAATTTCTATCCATAGATCAATATCAAACTCAGTAATTGAAGAAAGGAAATCTGATCCCCAACAGCAACATACTGAAGAGCTAGAAAAAGAAAATAGCCCTGAAAATTCTATTTCTGCACCAACAACACAACAAAGTAGTCAATTAACACACAATGATAGGTATTGTTACTTTTTTATTCGTTTGTTTTATCCTCGTAATTTGTACTTGCATCTTTAGTTTTCCTAATTATTCAGCCTGTGAAAAGTGTTTTTTGTTTAAAACTAAAAACCTGTTTTTACTTGATGACTTAATAATTACTTAAAAAATATTTATGAACTAAAGTAATCAAAAATTTATTTATTATTCCTTTTTCAAAGTAATGGAATTTTTTCAGTCCGAAAATAAAAATTACTTTATATTCTTTCTTCCATTCCGATCCTTGACTCTTCTTATTTGGCCGATTTTCCGTTTTAAAAAGCTTTCTATTGGAGGCTTGTGTCAATACCCTCATGTTAATCAGTTGAGTTTGATCTGGTTCTCAGGCGGTCTTAGAAGGTCCATGCTGCATTTTACACATACTTTCATTCTTAAAAATCTGCGAATGTTCTAGATTGGTTTCAATTTCATCAAAGAATTGGTGAGACATCTTTTATTTCAAAGACTTGCTGCTGTTTGGAAACCTGCGTGAAAATTTTAAACCATGCTTTTTCCCTGAATAACCTGGTTTGAAAATTTTCCGGCAATTTATTATTAGGGTAATCACTTCTATGCTATGGTGAGTGTATGTTAAGAGTTATTGGATGCTTATACTTTATATTAAGCATTTCTCTTATTGAAATTGATTTAAAAAAGTTTCAAAATAACTAATGTTATAGTTTTATTCAAGCCTGTTCACCATTGGACAAAATTAGAAAATTTTGCTATTGGCCAATAGCCAGTTGAATTTTTTACAGTTGCCATTTTTTTGAAATTTGAAAAAAAAGAAGAAAAAAGAAACTTAATGTTATTTATGTTAGACATTTTTCAAATTATGGCATATAATACATGTTATAAGAAAAAATTTCTGAAGGAAGTGTGATATTAAGTAATTTTCAAAGTTTTTTAAATTAATCATTAATTTCATAATAATTTTTTAAAAAAATACATATTAGGGTGCTTTTTTGAATGTAGCGACTAACAGACAGCTTTCTAATGGCTAATAAATAGCTTTATTATATATATTTAGAGCTCTTTTGGACAATGGTGACTGTTAATTTAGCCCTATACTATACACATTTCAGTGTCAACTGAAATAATTATTGATTGTAAATAATTATTAATTGTTACACCTTTATCAATAGTTTTCACACTATGAAGGTGTACCTATGTGACTGCAAAACATGCATAAATGTTTATAAAAATTTCATTAGTAGAGAGAGATACTTATTTTTAATCAATTTCAATTTTATCACAGAGGATTACTCATTTTATAATTTCTCTTATATTGTTTCCTTGTGTGTGCTTTTCTTCCATGATTTTTGTTTTAACTTTTCGTTTATCATTGTTTTGTTACAGAAGTTTATCCCCCTCTGAAAATGATAGTAATACTACAGTTTTTAAACAACTGCAAGACATCATGATGGTAGCTAATATTTCGGACTCTACTCTAAGTACCAATTCCTCCTCACACAACAATCATTGTGATTCTGTGCTAAAGAACTTATCTCGTGAACAGTGTGTACCACAAACATTAATACCCATGAACTCTCCTGTAAATAATTCAAGTAGCAGTTCCATGGACTTGGGAGGTGTAAATAAGAGTGCCGAAGTGGAATTTGGAGAAAATGTATTTGAAGAAAAGTTTGTCGTCAAGAGAGAGACACCGCCTGTAATACCCAATGGCAATCTCTTTCACGAAGAAAGATATTCCGCTAAAGAATCTTTACTTACTCGCTTAATGAACTCACATAAAGATAACAATATTAGATGTTCAGAAACATTTAGTCCTTTCAATCAAGATCTAGATGTCCTCACGCTCAGGAATCACTTAATTAATAATGGTGAGTTCAAGTAATCTTTATTTTTCTTAGCTGAATGCATGTTGTATGTGGAGAGGGTAAAGTTAAGTATTATATAAAAGAGATAAATACAGGGTATCCGCGCACCCGGAAAGTCATGAAATGTCATGATATTAATTATTTTTTAAGAAAAAAAATCATGGAAAGTCATGGATTTAGGTCGCCAAATTGGTCTAATTTCTAAAATAGAATCCCCACACGCCCAATGTCATAGTGTTCCAAATATCTGAAATTCTAACTAAGTCCCCACTCACAGTCATATTTTATTAATATATAAAATTTTTTTATCATGTTTTTTTAGAAAAATGAAAGAAGAAACATCATTTCTAGAATGAATTATCTTTTAAACTTCTGTGATTTCAGTATTTTTGTTAATTTTTTTTTTTTAATCATTTTAACTGAAGCAAACCAGTCATTGGCGAGTTTTTTTATTCCGAATTGAGAATAGAAAAATCTGGAGTATTTCTTTCCTTTCCGATGAACGAGGAAAGTATCTTTGGAATATAATTCTGCAGGAAAATAAATATTTGCTTTTTTTTTTTCGAGCTATTTTACTGCTTCAGCTATTTTACTGGTTATACCTATCATTTCAATGAATGTTATTATAATGCTTTTCAAATTTATTGTTCTGTTTTTGTCGGGAGAAAATAGTAATATTAAGTCATGAAAAGTCATGAATTTGAAAATCTAGAATGTAGCAGATACTCTGTAAATAAAAAAATGTACATGTGAAATATTAGTTCTTAACAATTTCATAATTTTTGTATTACTGAAAGTGTTGATGTATGTTGGTTAAAAAGATTCTCTGAAGTAAAAGATAAATAAAAACTAAAATAAAAGATCAAGTAAATATCATTATTGATTTTATGTTGAGGTTTTCAGATCTTTTTCTTGTTTTCAGCTCAATAAGGATGCTAGAAACAATGAAAAACGATTTTAGAGCATTATCTTTTTACCAAACATAGAAATGTTCTTATAAAGTTTTTTTTTGGAATTTTTCTATTATTGTTATTATTCAGTCTCTTCCGTGAGACCTTAATGCTTTACCACATATTTTAGAGGGATTACTGCTCTAGATAATCAATGATTTTTTTTTCACTAGAAAGCAAATCTATTTATATATGAATCCTGAGCATGCATTTTTTGTATAATTATTATTAAAAATCCTAATCTTAAAATAAGCAATACAGTGGTCTCTGTCTGCCTGTCAGCTCCATTTACAAAAATGCATTGAATGTAATTTAATTATATTTTACAATAAATATGGAATCATTATGGATATTTTATAATCTTCTAAAAATTTATTTATTTTGTGCTTGTTTCTGAATTTTTTTATTTTAGAAATAAACTATGTAATGTTTACTATATTTTGAGAAGTGCTCACTGTGTTATTATTTTTTAATCATTGTAGTTTTCAAATTTTTTAAAAGTTGCCTCTGGTAAAAGTACTGCAAGTGCGCCTTGTCCTAGAGCAAAATTTCCTAATTTTGCCGTATAAGCTCTATAAGATGCCATGTATATATAAATTTTTTTTTATTCTTTTTGTATTTGTGATTTCATATTGCATCTGGTTTTTTAAAGTACCCTGTACGTATAAAAGAAAATTTCTTCGATAAAGCGTGTGACTTAAACTCTTAAATTTTTGATCAATTTAAAGATCAAGATATCACAAAGTATATACAAAATAATGCGACTGTAATGCTATATATGAAAATAGTTAAGATAATTTGTTGATGCAATGTATTTCAGATGGGGATCGGTCAGCTTATTCATTTGAGCCAAAAGATGACTGTGGTTTAGGTAAGATATTTTATTATTAGAAATGCTTATAAACTGTTATGTTCTGGTTATCACTGGATTTTATTTATGTTATCATAATTAAAATCCAGTGTTTCCTGCTGCTCATTATGTGGTCTTGTGGTTATTACTAGGTAGTAGTTTTAGATTTTAAGTGAATTTTTTAAAACATCTCTTCAGGAATTAGAGGTAAGTTTTTCCACTTTTTGGCAGAATTTCCCCTTTTTTTCCGAAGAACCAAAAAGAAGAAAATACCAAAAAGAACTGAATTTGTTAATACAGGGACCCTCAAAAAAATGTTAATGATATGTTATTAATAATCGAAATTAAAAATTCTTGTTTTAATTCTCTTTATTAAATGTGCTCCAAATCTTTGTTTTGCTGCTCCAAAATTGCTTTTTTGTTGCTCCAAAGATGCTCCAAAACCACGTTTTGCCACTTACACCACTGGAATAGTTTAATCAAAATGGCTAAAAGTATGAACCTTCAATTTCACTTTTTCTGTAATTTGTTGTAGCTTGGTAAATAGGATGAAGCAAAAAAAATTTTGCTCATAATTATATTTCATGCTAAAAAAAATATTTCTTGCTTATTTTATAAATGTACATGGGTTTTTTTTCCCGCATTATAGTTGTCAGTAGTGAAATTTAATATTTATTTCAAGTATATTAAGAAGAGAGAAAAAATCTTAGTCCATACAAGTATGAACTTGTTAATTTTTATATTAAGTTGAAATCATGTTTAATAATTGATATCATACTATTTGTAAGAAACAGCGTAAGAATGAAAAAAAATTATTTTCCCTGTTTTGTTTCAGACTTTGATCCAGTTCAGACGGCTCTTGGTGGTTTGGGAGAGCTTGTTGTCTCTGAGAAACAAAAAGCTAGAATAGAAGTTAATTCTTTAAATACCACTCCAATCAATGCATTCAAGAAACATAATGCTCCACAACAAAGAGTGCAACAGCCTGTCTTTTCCCCCAATAATTATCTTCCTGTATATCAAAATCGTAAGTATCTCATTCACTATAATTTATTATGAATTTCGCATATCATGCTTTCGACAACTTTTAACTTGCCTACCATAGAGAATATAAAATTTTGGTCGCAAAAGTTTTAAAAATCATTATTCCTTTAGTTACATGAAACAAATGTCGTTATCACTCATTCAGAATAGGAAATATGTTAGATATATTAATACTTAAAGGGTTTTTACTTTGATCGATTGTAATAAATTTTATATCATTTTCAGCTTTGTGAAACCAGTTTTTGGTGACATAGCGTTCTCGTGCATTCAACTTACGTTGGTGACATCATGCTAGTGTTCGACCTGTTTTTTTTTCTTTAGTAGGTTGATCATGCCTACCCTTTGACTTCATTTGTCAACTTTAATACACGAATGCTTAAGCTTCCGTTGAAGACGCTTATGTTGTATTTTTACTGTTCTTTATTATTTTATTATTCTGTTCGTCAGAGTGTACAGAGTGCAAAGTGTGTGTGTTCCAAGTTAATTATGTTTTTTTACAAACAGTTTACCATGAAAACTTTTATTTCTGTTTTGATGAAAGTTAATATTTGATTACAGTGACATTCTTGTGACTATTTCAGCTGTCAAAAAAGATCTGTTTTTCCAGACGCACACATGCTTAGAGTATGCATACTAAAGAGTATCAAACCAAAGTAAGGTACATGTACTAATTCAAGAGTACCAAATTTTGATCATAGACCACTTGAGTGAAAAGGGCTGGTCTTGTATGACATAGTGGTCCATGAAAGAAAAATCACGGTCCTGAACGGATTAAGGTTACTTCTTCTACTAGTACACAATCGTTAACTTCGAACGTGTAACAGACTTGACATTTAAATAGTTTTGTATTTTCAAAATTTTCTTCTTTTTTTTCTTTCAGGAAGCCAAAATTCTCCCATAGTGGACTTTTACAATCAAACCTCTTTTCGACCTTCAGTTCAAAGTCCTGTTGGAAGATCTTCTCTTCATTCACAAACAGTAACTCCCACTCAGCAAAGAAGTCAGCCTGTTCCCCCACCCTTTGCCAACACACTAACCATTCAAACTCCAAGATTCTCACCAGGAATGTCTGTGGGCAACAACTCAATGGTTAATGGTTATTCTCCCCAACACTACATGAGTGCTGCACAAGTGTCTGTAAGTATAAGACGTCTTATAAGTGAGTACAGTCACCACAGGGTGACTAATTACTAAAAAAAATAGGAATTAAAAATTACTTTGATAATTGCCAAGTTTTTCTCGAAAAATGCGCACCTTTAATTTTATCCTGAATTTTCAGGTTATTTTTCTAGTAAAGAGTTTGTTTTATATTACTTTCTTTAAATAAAATAAAAAAATTGTGATCAGTAATATTGAAATTAATGGTTGTAAGTAGAGTGCTACAAGTAGCAAAAAATTTTGTAATATTTTTGTGCAATATAATTGTAATAGGAACCTTAGTAAAGAAACAATGTTTGGTTGCAATTAGTTTTTAAAATCTAATTGGTGCAAATCTTCATGGGTTCGTGAGCACAATGAGAGTGGCATGGCCAAACGTTAATGCGAAATATTTCTGATTCTTCCGAGCACCAAGCTCTTTTTTAAAAGTGTTGGCAACAGTTGTTTGTTACATTGTTTTCTTGAAATTGTGTTATCAAATTCACATGCAGAAAATTCTCAGTTTCTACATAATTACTTTTCCTTTTATAAATGTTGAAATTGGCTGATACTTTTAAAGATTCTGAACAGCCCTAGCCAGGGGCGGATTAAGTGTAAACGAGGCCCTAGGCCATTCAAATTTTTGGGGCCCTTAAATTAAATTTTTTTTATTGGGGGGCCCAGGCCATGGCCTAGTATTGCCTAATGGTTAATCCGGCCCTGGCTCTAGCAAAGTTCATTGAAGATAGTGAAGTAGTGACTGCATTTCAAAATTTGTAGTTAATATCAAAAAGTGTAGTTAGAATGACCACTGACTATTCTATTTCATAACTTTGATTACAAATATTTCAGATTTATTTTGTGACTAATGAATTTTATGCTTGTTAATGTGCATAAATTTTATGCTTTGTTATTGGTTTGAAAAATCAAGTCCTAAATTTTAATCAATGAAAGTGTTATATACTATACTTAAATTTTACATAAACCTTATAGTGCTTACCATATTTTAAAAACTGCTTTACATTAATAATATCACTTTTTTTTAGTTTAGAATTTTAAATTTTTGATAAAGTCAAGTTTTCAAAAGTAGCCTCTAATAAAAGTTCTATTGCGGGTAGCGATGTAATGAATATTCAGCCGGTATTCGACCTGTTCAGCTTTCTTGCCAAATATTATTGTGTGTTTTTAAAAAGTGCTTAATTTTTCCTTTTTCAAAAATAAGATTTTTTAACAATGTCGATTTTCGCCACGTATTATGTAAAAGCGTGTTTTTTCCCATTGTTCTATTCAACGTTTTCACAATTCATTTCAGCGTACCGTCAGTCCGTAGCATATGAAAGCGCCAATCATTTTACATCCTGTTTGATTAAATACTTGCAAGTCCGCATGTGCGTCTACTGAGCTGGGTTCAGTGAGATTATTGCACTCTCGTGTGCAACTCTGCTGCATATTCTCTATTTCAGACTTTATTTTCACCCTCTGATATCGAACCAAAAAATCTCTCTATCATTTTATAAGGGCTAATATAATCAAGAAAAGAGTTCTTTGTCAGAAACTAGTTATTTTCTCATGATCATCTAAAGTCTTTGAAAATTATTTTGCATTTTATTAATGTATTTCGTGTTTAAAAATATTTTTTGAGTGCTTAAAAAGTGCTTATTTTGTTGAGAGATTTGGCTACGCACCCTGTAATAGGTTTAATAAAGAATAATCTAGAATAGTATTATTTACTATAAATTGGAGATAGTTTTTGCATATATTTGTTAAATTCTGAAACTTGTTAATTCATGTTCTGAAACACATTCAGAAGAGCAAAATTTATAGAATTGAAACTGAATTACTTTGTAATGAACCATGAGTTTCATAATAATTTTTTTTTCTTTTTTTAATTATATTCAGGCAAGTCAATTTCATTGTTTTTTTTTTTTTTTTTCCANTCTATCAAGACTTCGTACGCATATTGATTTAAATCAATTTATATATCTTTCTAACAGAATTACCAGAATTATTCAATGTCTTAAAGTGTGGAAAAATAAAAACTTCATTGTAAACTGAAATTTGTCCAAAAATTGGAGCTGCAGTATGGGTATTTCTCATATTTAGTAATCCCTGTGCAAATAATAAATTGCAAGTTTATTGTTACTCCAAATTAAGTTTAAAATATAAATTGTTAATTTTGTGCTACATAATTGAATATTTTCATCCAGCCTCCAGATGCTTTCATGATGTCACAACAACAGCAGCAGCAACCACCACAACAAAACCATAGTTTTGAAAATTTCCCTCAACATCAATTTTCTTTTGAACAACAAGTTCCCTCATGTATGTATAGTGATCCTTTTTAATGTTCATAATTTTCTCTCTACATTTTTAGCAGATACTTAGGTATTACTTTTTAAAACTTATTGTTGCATTATGATAATTGTGCTCTAGGACCCAGGGTTTCTTACATTTTAGCATTTTCAGGCAAATGATAAAAGCCTATCTGAATTGATAAAAATATGTCATCTGCGCACCTGAGAGGGAAGTCATGAATTTCGGCACTAAGCAAAATTTGTCATGAAATGTCTCGATTTTAACTTTTTTTTTTTTTTTTTAATCATGGAAAGTCATAGGTTTAGTCGTCGAAAAATCTAATTTTTGAAATGGAAACGAATTCCCCCGCCCCCATTTCATGGTGTTCCGAATATCTGAAAATATAAAATGTTTTTTATCTTGTTCTTTAAAAATTATGGTGTTCTTTCAAAAAATGAAAAAAAAATTTTTTTTTATAGAGTGAATTATCTTTTAAACTTCTGTGTTTCAGAATTTTTATTGTTTTTTTTTTTTTTTTTTTTTTTTTTTTTTTTTTTTTTTTTTTTTTTTTNTTTTTTTTTTTTTTTTTCCGGAAAGGAAAATAGAACAATCGCATATTTCTTTCATCTCTGATGAACAAAAAAAGTATCTTTAGAATATAATTCTGCTGAAAAGAAAGAAAAACATTTGCTGAGCTATTTTATTGTTTCAACTCTTTCTTTACTCTTGCTTTTTAAATTTAAAATCTATAATTATGAAGATGCAGAGTATAACAGTTTTGGTTGTACCTATCATTTCAATTAATGTTATTATAATGGTTTTTTAAATTTATTGTGTTTTTGTCAGAGAAAATAGTAACTTTGTTAAGTCATGAAAAATTCCTGGAATTGGTCATGAAAAGTTATGGATTGGAAAATCTAAAATGTAGCAGATACCCTGTAAAAAGAAACATGACATTTGTACTAAGCATTTTGTATAACACCATTAGGAGAAGGATTTAAATCATGACTAAGTTCATTAGATTACTACAAATTTTAATTATATTTCTATTAAATGTCCTATGTTTGTCCAAGGAACGTACTGTATTTAGCTTATACTGTGATAGAATCAAGTTTCTATTTCAAACTTCAATAAAAATAAAATTTTTGCCTCTTGTGTTCTAATAACTTTCTGAAGCTATCATTAAATTTAAAAAAAAATTTTACATATAAAAATAGAACACATTTAAGCAATAATACCATAACTAAATTTTTTCATAAGCCTTATGACATCGTAGTATTTTCCTTTCTAATGTAACTTTTTTTTCTAAAGAAGACATTTTGAACTTGCAAGTTCTGATATAACTTTGTTTACAAAACCTCTTTAAGCATTGCAAAATGTCTAATCTAAACCAAAGGTTTGAATTGAAGCATGCCTTTGAAAAAATCTCTCTTAGCTTTCAACATAAAGTATAAAATGTAATTCCCCTTCCTCATACTGGAACTTGAATAGTGATTGAATACCTTCTTCCCCTGAAATAAAGTAGTCCCAAATTTGGGTACTTACTGCTCAAGAACACCATTCTAAAAAACCAACCAGAGTAAAAACCCTGGTTTTTACCATCCAAAACTTTTTTGTCCATTGCTAGAATTTTGTTGAAGTTTGGTTATGATATCAAAAGATGGAGAGTCTATGTTAAATAAATATTCAATATCAGAGAGAAAGGAAAAAATAGTTGAAAGCAGACAGCTGTCTCAATGTTCTGAACAAGTAACGCCACTTGTTCTAAAGCACCATTTCTGGTTCTTAGCTTTTATGGTGTTCCTGTAATTCAATTATTTATATTCCATTGTCAGGAAACAGGACTGTAGAGACTATTATATAAAATAAAATAAAAAGTTGAACCATAATCTACCATAAAAATTGTGCATCAGAATAATTACTTTAAAATTAAGGGATAGAACTAACTGTTCTATTTGTATGGTTTTAGATAGGTTTTTCCTAAAACAATTATTTAGAGCAATGTGGTTGGAAAGCAAAGTGTTTTATTTTGCTTTTTTGAATAATGAAATTAAAATTAGAAAATTAGGTTTGAAGTCATTCTCTTTTTTGTATAAATTTCCTGGCAATGTCCTAGATTTATGATTTTTACTTATGTTCTATTTCATATATTGATTGATGTTAGTTTATGCATTTGACTCAACTCAAAAATTTTCTGTTGCAGTTGGTAGCAACATGAGTTTGGGTCAAAGGATTAGAAATGAGACTCTCAGTCGCCAACAATCGTATCAACAACAACAACAATATCAACAGTTACAAAGACTTAATAGTTACTGCAACTCTACACCTCTTGGAGGTAATTTAACTTATGTATGTTTATACCACTCATTCCTAAAAGGAAATCTTTGCAAATATTTTTATAATCATGCATGCTTTCAATCTATAAATGTCTGTAGTTTAAAGAGGAATGTATTTAAGAGATATTAACAATTTTTGATAAATTAATCATAATGTCTTAATTTGTTATGTTTCACGTAAAATAGTAGTGTTTTATTTGGGACATACTGTCTAAATTGTATTATGACCCACTGAACAATTCATGGATGGGGTAACTCCATCATGTCGCTTTCACGGTTTATTGATATCTGGATCTTTTCGGATAGTAAAAGTGCTATCTAGCACCTGGCCGATTGGCATAATGTCAGGGACAGTGTTGGTGCTGACATTCTCAGGAAACGAAAACATCTTTCCCTTTCTCATCGGATTCACTTTCAATGGATTCCGTCACATGTTGCTATTGTGATTGAGAATGAGATTGCTGACAGTTTGGCCAAAGCAGGTGCTATAGAGGCTATTACGACTGTCACTCCTCTTACTTACTTGGAGCATTTTTCTAAATGTAAGGCAAAGAATATGGCCATTTGGACGGTCACGCCGGTACACTCATGGTATCAGAGTAGGTGTCCAGGGGGCTACTTGGCTCGGGGGAGCAATAGACTAGAACAAACTGCCATCACTTGTTTCTTCAGTGGACATCTGACATCAATGACTTATAACGATAGTAATAAACACTTCAAAACTAAGTGTTCTGCTGCCCAGCCACCCCTGTCCACATTTTATCTTATCTGGGACTTACCAGACGGGACCTGGTTCAAGCTCCTCTGCTGGTGCTAGACTTTCTTAAAGTGAACGAGCTCATGGTCCTGATCTAGCTCTGCTGGTCATGGGGATGAGAAAAACAACAACATGACCAACTGATATTTACTGAGTACCTTTAGATTTATAAATTCATAAATATATCTTCTTTTTTTTAACATTCTCTTTGTCTTTTTATTTTAGTTTGAGCTTTTAAAAGTTGATATCTTTTCCTAAAGCATAGAGTAGCTGTTCCCGAATTGTGTTCCAATGGAACCCTAAAGTTTCACAATTAGAGAATTAAAGGAGTTCCTTGAATTTGAAAATAATCGTTAATATTAAGGGGAGATATAGGCTCATATGTATAAAGTATATAAGCAGCAATTTCTCCATTTTAACTCTTTATTTTTTTTACACTTAGCGCTTTAATGCTAGCAGTTAGAAATATATGCATACATATCAAATAGTATGCCACATTGTGGGCCTTTTAATATATCTATAATTATTTCCTTTGCTATGGTTATTTAGTATGCTATAATACAATACCTGACAGAGTTTAATATTAAGGAGCGATACGTGGCCATTTTTGTCATGCCCCTTTATTTTATAATTATTTCCCTGCCTCCCTAATTTGTTTATAATTATTTATAATAATTTGTGTACTGTTTATTGAATTTCAGTTTGATTCAATTAACCCTCTTGGTGGCGCTTACTTAAAATAGTTTTTCTCTTAGAAGGTCGAGCATATTTAACAGAGTTGTCCGTGAAACGGGAAGGGTCAGACAAAAGGAATGCCTCCCCCCTTTTTTTCCGTTCGCAGTTAAGGGAATTATTTACGCTCTATGTGGTCAGCTTTTGGATGGGAGGGTCAGCCAAGGGAATGACAGTTTGATGGATGGAACTCGTTTTGTAGATCACTTTTCAACTATCTTTTTTGAATCCTCCTGCAATTCAGTGTTTGTTTCCAGAATGTTTTAATCTTTTTACAATTTATATTTAAAAGACATGACTGTATGGCCCTCGCCTTTCTCGTTGATGAAGAT